TGTACGGACGTAAATTTACACTTCCTTCAGCCTGAGGCTTATTCATTTCACTTTTGGTGTGAAAAGGCTTTTATATTTGCCAAAAACAGAACTTTTTTTTAATTTTAAAAACAAACAAGCAAGCCCTGTCCAAGTAACGCATTACTTTCCATAAAAAGTAACTAAGTACCGTAATTAGTTACTTTTTTATGGAGTAACGCAATATTGTAATGCATTACTTTTAAAAGTAACTTTCCCCAACACTGGTAATTAATAACTGTAACATAAAATAAATAAATACTTTTTTAATAAATAAATACTTATGTAACATGGCAATTGATCATCACTTCCTAAAGTTGTAAAATTACAACAATTTCAACGCTAGACATTAATACAAAGCAAAATACATTTAAAAAGCGTTTCCTTTCATTACTAAGTAAAATTATGAGTAATCTATAAGAAATTCCATTTAAAACGTTTCAGTAACAGGTTTCATATTCCCCTCTAAATACACAGATATAGATATGTAAATTCCATACATTATTTTATCCGAAACTTTTTCTTTTTTTTTTTGCATTATTAATAAACAATTTATCAGCTGTTCTGCAAATCTTCGAATGAATTCGCTTTAGTTTCACTTTCTGTATGTGTTCATCTGGCCAGAAATCATTTGCGGTCGCAAAAACGGTCGTGTGTCTGCTTCAGTAAAGCTTTGCGAGTTTATTTCATATTCACAGATTGTCCCCATCACCACACGGGTTATTCTTTCTTAGATTATAACACAGTACACTGTTAAACGAGTGCATGGCTTTGAGTGATGAGAACTGTTTGTGATGGTTAGTTCTATGACTAACCGTAAAGCAGCTTACTTTACGGCAAACAAGAGGAGCTTCAGGTTAAACATTCGCCATGCACTGGTAGCAAAAAATGGCACGACTGAAAATACTTATTAATTAAACCATTTGATTGTGTTCTTGAAAAAACAGACCAACTGCCAGGCAGCCAGCTCCTTATTACTGACCTGCTACGTTAAAGCTCATCAGGGAACAGATTGCATATGTTTTCCGATGTTTTTTTTTTGGCTAACATTAGTGCTCAAAGCTATTCGTATAAGTTAGGCATATCTTTAAACGTTTAACTGGGTAAAAAGGTTTACGAACCTCTGAAGCTAGACATGGATAAGGAGCCATCAGGACCATCTAGCACAGGCTCAAGAAGTGCAAGAGGCTTCGGTCTGTTTGGATCTGCTGGCCCCGCAGCATTCAAAGACAGAGCTCGCTGGAGTGCCATGCAAGTCTGCCATATTATATTACTAGATGTGCATATGATTCAGTAGCTCACTAAAGCTGCTTTTCTTAACAGTGGCAGGCATGAGTCCTCTCTCTCCATAGCTTAATGTGGACCCCAGGTATCTCACTCATACAGGTGAGATCAGATGGCCATTAGCTACATTTATTTGTTTTTAATATATGAGATTTAAAGGGATAGTTCACCCAAAAATGAAAATGCTGTCATTAATTACTCTCCTTCATGTCATTCCAAACCCGTAAGACCTTCACTCATCTTCGGAACAGAAATGAAGATATTTCTGATGAAATCCGAGAGCCTGCATAGACAGCAATGCAACTGACACGTTCAAGGCCCAGAAATGTAGTAAGGACATCGTTTAAAATAGCCCATGTGACATCAGTGGTTCAACCGTAATTTTATGAAGCTACGAGAATACTATTTGTGCGCAAAGAAAACAAAAACAACGACTTTATTCAACAATTTCTTCTCTTCCATATCAGTCTTCGACGCGCATTCAGTCTTCAACTTTTTGTCATCGTTTCAACTTAATTATGTCTTAGTATCTCATCATTTCAACTTTTTATTTCATCATTATGACTTAGTATCTCATAATTTTGGCATGTCATAATAATGATGAAAGGTCGAAATTATGAATTATGAGGTAGAAAATATGACTTTTATTTAACCAATAGAAAACATCACTGACATTAAAAATCTCTTTTACAGGAATGTTCTGAATGAACTGGGACTGAGATAAAGAGTCAAAATTATGAGATGAAGTCATTATGGCATAAAAAGTCAAACTTTGACCATGATTTCGGCTTTTTGTCATAATTTTGCCTTTTTACATCATAACTTTTTTCTCTTTATCTTATAATTATGACTTAGTATGTCATAATTTCAACTTTGTATCTAAATGTATTATTTCATAACTCCAACCTTTCTCATTATGACTGTCATATTTATAATTTACCAAAGCATGAATTTTATTTTCTTATATGGCGGAAATGGGCTTCCATAGTATCTCTTTAATGAGATTTCCCCTGATAGGTTAAACAGGACTTTCCACTGCATTGATGGTTTGTGTTGCTTCTTTCTTTCACATCTTTCTACACCTTGCATGCTCTCATAAGCATTTAACCAGCAGAGAGCAGTGTTCACTACAGTGTGCACTGTGCCTTTCATAGGAACAGAAACAGCAGATATGCATTTCCTGGTAAAGGTGGGGTCAGGTAACATACAATAGGGTCGGTGAAAATGTGCTATGATTACCCTGCCGTAATGTACGGTATTTCCTCAAAGACTGGCACAGGTCTAGGAAGTTGCTATTGAATGAGTCAACCTTGGAAGTCCAGGTGCCTGATTCATGTGTAATGAAGCAAAAATATGCATGTGTTTATTTGCACGAAGAACAGCCTTTTTGTTAATAGACTAATGTGATATTATGGAGCCCATGGGGCCGTTTCCCAAGACCTACTTCTGTATTTTAATTGTGTTGTTGGCATAAAACATCCCAATTTCTGTATATTGCATGTTGTTTTAGCACCAACGTCATTAGTGATTTAGGCCAATTGTGACTTTGTTTTAAACTCTTAATCTCCATTCTTCTCTCCCGTTCAGGATCCCGAATATGGTGACCCGCCAAGGTGCCACATGGGCAAACACTTTGGGTTCAATAGGTGAGTGGCCCAATTTCAGCCTCCGTCCCCCTCAAAATGAATCTTGTCCATCTTTGTAGTCTGGGCAAATGCTCATTTGAAACATAAGGGTATTTTTATTTAGTTTGAGTCTCAGTATTTTTTTATTTTGAAGTCATATATTAATTCAGACACCCAATCTCTGTGTTGAATATATTTATATTGGTGGTGCATGTGTTTAGCTCTGCTGTACAGTGCATTTGGGGTGATCTTTGAGAAAGCCAGAGGGGCAGAGGACGACCTCAACACCATTGCTGCAGGAACTCTGACTGGTGTCCTCTACAAATCTCCAGGTAGATCGTGTATAATATGTTTAGAACATTGTGTTATCTTTAAGAAGAAAAAAAAACACCTTTTGTCAGCAGACTGAAGGGGAAGATACAGCAATGTTGTGTACTTCCTTTTCTGTAAAAGTCTTATTTGAGGAGAAAAGGGAAATTGCTTTGAAAACCATTATACGCCAAGATCTTTTACAGAAAACGTTCTTTAACTTTTATACATTTTTTGTTATTAAAATGAACAGATGTTATATAATGCTTAACACATGGTTAACTAATATGTAGTCACTTTAGAGTTTGAATAGTCATGGAATTTTTTGTATATATTTTCATGCCCCCAAAGTATTTAGCCTCTTAAAAACATTTAGATATACAACATTATAGTACAACTGTGAGCATCCACTTTTTCAGTGACCTCAGTTTTGGAAATAATTTCCCCTATTCATTTTCTCCATAGGCATTTATTTTTTTTAATCTTCTACAATCTAACTAATCAGCTTCCACATCAATTGCAACATTTTAAACTTTGATTTAGAGCTACAGTTCCGTGACGCAGTGAGAGAAGATGGTCAAAATATATTATTTATAGGTTATAAAATATGATTTTATAAAGTATTTTATAAGTATAAAAACAGTAAGTGTAAAATGTTTTGCAAAATATGTATCTAGATACAAATATATTACCATTCAAAAGTTTTTGAAAGAAATTAATACTTTTATTCAGCAAGGATTTATGAAACTGATCAAACAATCACTGTTTACAAAAACACATTTCACAGCACAACAGCTTATCAGAATGATTTCTGAAGGATCGTGTGACACTGAAGACTGGAGTAATAATGCTGAAAATTCAGCTTTGATCACAGGAATACATTATGTTTCCAAATACATTAAAATAGAAAACAGTATTGTAATTGTAATATTGTAATATTACTGTTTTTACTGCATTTTTGAGCCTTGAAAGAATGTGAAGTGTAGATAGACATGGCTTCAACTGATGCGTATATCATTCATTTATAACCTTGGAACTCATGATATGCCTGTTTCAAAAGAATCGTTAAAAATTCATTTCTAGAAAAGGAATGAGATTTGTGCTTCCGTAACCTGACTCTTGTAAACTTTAATTTAGCTCATCGAAGGCCATTAGGTGGTTATAAACACAAAATGTCATTGTTCCTGCAAGGAAGTACCTTACAGAATTACCCTGCAGGTGTTCCTGTAGCTGTGGAATGAATGCATTAAGTAGAGAAGAGCTGTTGTCCAGATATTAGGGGAAGTCTCCTCCACTAGGACGCCACAAAATATTTTCCCATCATTCTTTGCTGCAGAGTTCTTCGAAGGGAAGTTCCTGGACATTGAGACGATTCAGCACATTGCCTACTCTGCTGAAAAGCATTTGGCAGGATTTAGTGTGCCATGAATGCAGTTTGTGTTCAGTGTGTCCCAAGCCATTCAGGCCGTCACGAGATCACTCATAACTTTAGTTATCTCACATTTCATAGTCATGTGTCACACAGGCTGTATTCAAACAAGCTCACAGGGCATGTGCATTGATCTTAATGGTGCTGTAAAAGCACGAACAGCATTGTTTACTGGCATATGTCTGTTGTTTTGTTCTGCATATTTGGGGCATTTCTGTTTAATACGAACAAGCAAGAGTCCCTTTTTTTTAAGAGACCGCATGTTGTTTTGAAGCGTTCCAGTGGGCTCTGTGTGTGATGGGTGGGCTCTCATTAACTCACATTCAGCAGTTATCAAGCCTTAACTCATGGTGGGTGTGGAATCCTCACACTTCTCAAAGCTCTATTGAACAGCATTGTTTACTGGCATATGTCTGTTGTTTTGTTCTGCATATTTGGGGCATTTCTGTTTAATACGAACAAGCAAGAGTCCCTTTTTTTTTTAAGAGACCGCATGTTGTTTTGAAGCGTTCCAGTGGGCTCTGTGTGTGATGGGTGGGCTCTCATTAACTCACATTCAGCAGTTATCAAGCCTTAACTCATGGTGGGTGTGGAATCCTCACACTTCTCAAAGCTCTATCGCTCTGCTCCATGTTCCGGGTCAGGGTGAAGTTAAGCTCTTCTCTATCTGACGTCTCCACTGACGTCTGTGAGACACTCGCTGGAGGTCAGGGACTAGATCTGGCTGGTTCTGGACCAAAAATATCATTCTAGTTTTAGTTTTACTATGATAATTATGCCTGGAATGGAATAAATGAGTCTTTGTATCATTTTGTCTTGAGCCTTGTGAATTTAAACAAGAGCTCCGTCTGTACTGTATTGTTCTTAAAAATAAAGGTTCGGTTTTGGCATCAGTGGTTCCATGAAGAACCTTTAACATCCATGGAATCTTGCCATCGCACAAAAAAAGGTTCTTTATAGGTTCTTTTTTTTTAATGTTCTTCAAATGATGGCATTTTATTTTATTTTGTGTTTCGGTTCCTCTTTCTGTGAGCTTGAAATCAGTCACTTTATGACAGGAAACACATTTATGTACTTTTATTTATTCAGTTGACAAGGATCAAAGCATTAGAGATCACTTAACCTACATGTGTGTACATGTGCAATACTGCAGTCCAACACTGGTACATGCTGACAGAAAAAAAAAAAATGACCAAGATTTTTTGCATTGTTACATTGTGACAGGGTGGTTCACAGCAGAGGCATCAAGCGATACCAGTGGTTATTATATGAGCAATTCAATTTAAAAATAACTATATTGATTCTATTCTAAACATTTACCACAAGTTGTTGCCTACCACAAAGACCACACAAACGTCGGCTGCTGTAGCCCATGACACAGCAGCAATGGCAAACTATGATAAGATTGTTTTCCACACGTACAAGGAGGTGGACTGACAGCAAGCATTGCTACACATTCGATGGCAGGCACAAGTTATCAGACTTCTCGAGGTTTCAATAACAAGTTATGCTATGTTTCGCCGGTATACGAGTTTTATGTGCTACTAAAGTATATAATTTAATCATCGAAATTAAGTAAAATAAACTGCAAGGGAAGCTCATTCTATACTTGAGAAAATAGTAAAATTCTATATAAATATATATTCAAAGAATTGGAGGAAATCATTCTCTGCTTTAAGGCATGACTTCCTCTATACGAGCAGGACTGAGTTCTGAAACGTGAATAATAAAAGCTGTAATTGTGCGTGATTTAAATATAGATTTATTTTTTTTGTTCTTTCCAAACCCCCTCCCCCACTACGTCTCCATAGGGGGAAAAAGTTATTGTTTTGTATGCACCAATCTGGTCAATATGCTCGTGATTCCTAAATCACATTAGTGAATTCTAAATAGAAACACATTGGCCTCCTCCACGTTACTGGAATTTAACTGTTAATAAAAGCGCAAAATGACTAATCCGTCCTCAAGTGATGGTGTACCAAAAGCCTTGCCTCCTGGACAGGACCTTTAGTCCAGATCACCCTTTCAATCTCCAGAAGATTACAGAGAGAATGAATCCCTAAAGAGCACTGAAGAAAAATATTGTGCAATAATAAGTGATTAAATAGCACTGGAGTCAATCTCCAAAAGCCAATGGAGGTTGCATTCATATCTGAAAAACAGAAGAGAAAATGGTTTTACTTTCTCAGAATAGAAAAAAACTAACAAAAAAAACAGCTCTACTTTTGAAAATTTTCATATTTATGTTATTGTTTCTCACCTGTGTAGCTGTTTGATGTAGCCACTTTTCTTTGTCCCCACTGAGCTTCATACAAGAAAACAGGTCACATACTGTTGGTAGGCCTAGCCTTTCCTGGACAAACCACAGGAAAACATGCTATGAGGTGTATGTATATATAATATTTATGAATATGAATGATGTATTTGAAAAAAATTATGTAAATGAAATGCACCAAATTTTAAAAACGACATTCTCAAACCCTAATACTATGGATGTAAAAGGGATAGTTCACTCAAATATGAAAATTGTCATCAATTCATGTTGTTCCAAACCCATAAGACTTTCATTTATTATTAAAAGGGGTGGTTGATCAGTTTTTTTCGAAAGCTTGATTGTATTTATGGGGTGCAGTGAAACATGTGTTCATGCTTCGTTTTTAAAAAAAACGCATTATTTTCACATATTTTACCCTTATTCTACACCTCAGTTTCCATTCTCGTGAAAACAATCTGTTGAGTTCCTGGTTCTATGAAGCCCCTCCCTCTGAAATACACAATGGGCTCTGACTGGTTAGCAGGCTCAATGTGTTTGTGATTCGCTAACCGCCTAGTGCACATTGTCCAGAAACATCACGCCCCCTTACCATTACGGGTAGTTGTGTGATGCCAGCGGCGGGGTTTACGGGTTTATGTAAACATCGGGGTTAGTGATGTCACAAACCCAGGAAGAAGCTTGTTGTAGTCCCTACCAGCTCTTCTTTAAAGGGGTCATATGATGCGATTTCAAGTTTTCCTTTCTCTTTGGAGTGTTACAAGCTCTTGGTGCATAAAGACTAAAGTCTCAAATCCAAAGAGATATTCTTTATAAAAGTTAAGAGTCAGCCACGCCTACCTAAAACGCCTCGTTCTAACACGCCCCCACATATCTATGTCACTATGTGGAAATATTAGCATAATGCTGCTCCAAATGTGCACGCAAAGAAAGGCGGCGTGGTTTCAAGAACCGCAGTTAGTGTTGATGCAGCCATGTCAGGGAGACGCTGTGTGTTTCAGTGCGAAAGCAAAAGCACTTTATTTGGCCTTCCGGAAGTAGATGCAATTAGGAATCATTGGTTAAGATTTATTTACAACAGAACAGCACAACCCAGATGTTTGAATTTGTGCAACGCATTTTATGGACGACAGTTTTTTGAACCTAGAAGAGTACAAGGTTGGCTGTGCACAAAGGCTATTTCTAAAAAAAAATTTAAAAAGGGGTCAATTCCGACTTTGCTATGACAAGCTGGCGCTTCTGAATCAGCGACTAGAAGTATGTTTTGTTATTAGTTTAAGTATTTGCTATTGACTGTTCAAATGCAGAGTTTTGCGCAGCGCAGAGTAACGCGTTGTGTGTGTGTGTGTGTGTGTGTGTGTGAGAGGGGAACAGGGTCACATCACAGGAGAGTGAACTGTCAGAAATCACAGTGGAGTCAGCTGTCTTAACCGCAGCTTGTGTACTGCATCATCACTGTGTCTGTCACGCGACTCTGTTGCCCTTTCGGGCTTGAACTGATGGTAAAGCTATTATTACGACATTATTAACCGTCTTGATATTTACTTTGAAAGCTGACGCTTGCGATTATGATAAAGGGGCGTTACATTTCCGACGCATGCTTGTGGTGTTCGGCCAATCACAATGCTCTGGGTCAGCTGGCCAATCAGAGCAGACTGCGCTTGTCAAAGGAACGGGCTTTGTTGAAAACGACGTGTTTGAGAGAGGTGGGGCATAGAGGACCTACAATAATGTACAGTATTTGAAAATTTGTTTTTTGAACATTAAAGCATGTCAACATATTCTGTTACACCAAATAATGATCTTTAAAATAGCATCATATGACCCCTTTAAAAGAAAATATCTCCCTTTGCATTGAACTCGGAGTGTTGTAACTTTGCAGATGCTGTTTATGCTCTAACAGCAACACAATACACACTAATAAAGTTCAAAAAGTGAAATCATAATCAATGAAACACAAAAGATGATATTTTTAATGAAACCTGAGATTTCTGTTCCTCCATTGAAAGTCTGAGCAACCAAAAATTGGACTCTTTAAAAAAAAAAAAGTTCATAAAGGCATTTTAAAAGTAATCCAATCATCGTGTCGTGTCAAGCGAGTGTGGTTGAGCTTGCGTTTACCATATTTGATGGGCCCCAAATATGTGTTGATCAATGTTTATACGTGAATAAAATTAGTATTATATAAAGTCATTGTGTCACTTCAGAAGCTTTGATTAAAATAATCTTTATTTGTATTTTGAAGATGAATGAAAGTCATATTGGTTTGGAATGACAGGAATGTGAGTAATTGATGACAATTTCCATTTTTGGGTAGAACTCTCCCTTTAATATATTTATATTGTGCTGGGCAGCAACAGATATCAGTCTCACCTGTGCGCTCGCCCGCTTGCGTAGAAGCCATTTGTCCTCCTCGATGTTCTTGCGGTCTCGCTCTTTATGGTTCTCACTCTTTGGCTCATTTGGCTTCTCAGTGGTTGTGCTTATGTGCTTCATCGCTGGCAAAAGCCAGTTCTGCAAAGGCTCCTGGGTGGAGCTCTCAGAGTCTGAGGTTTTGATGTACGGGGTCACCCAGGCAGAGAGGGACGACAGGGCAGGGGACTTGGCACTGTTGTTCGGGTGCAGCCACATCTCTAAGATGGCTTGAACCTTCTGCTGCTGGCTGGAGGCTTTGTTTGGGGCATTCTTATTGACGGGAACACCATTCTTATCTCGATCCTCTTTCTTGAGGAGCCAAGCACTAAGGGCCTCTTTTCCACAGTTGTCGTCACAGACACATTGAGCGTAGCTGGTACAGGTCTCGTTGGCTTTGCAGGTGGTCTCGATTGGGATGGTCTTGTGAAGCCACATTTCGATGGTTTCTGGACTGGTGATTGGAGTGCTTGCAGCGGATGAAGGTGGAGTCTTTAGGCACTTGAGCTTTCCTAGGTTCTCGATTTCCACGGCAGCACTGCGTGTGGCACAGCAAGAGCTGCAGTCGGACTTTAGTAGCCAATCGCTGGAGGAGAAGCTCTCGTAAAAGGGTTTGATGATCTGCTTGAAGCGGTCAGCATCTGACACCGGGCTGGTCTTATCTTGCTTGAACGGGCTTGGGCTAAAGAGCCACTTGCTGAGTTCTTCTTCCTCAACAGTGTCGTCCCCTTTTTCCTGCTGGTCTTCCACTTCCACCTCATCCAGATTTAAGTCGCTTTCCTCGATCATCTCAATCGAGAAGGTTGAGCTTCTGCTACAGGTTCGTTCACGAACTGGCAATTTCTCCTTCAGAAGCCACGACTCCAGGTCTTGAAGCTGGCCCCAAGCTTTTTGGAAGTCAAAGGCAGGTAACTGTCGCTCTTCCTGTAAAGTGGAAATAAAAAAGTGGGCCATTTCCTAAAGACATTAATTTGACAGCAGTAGCGCTTTGGCTACAGTCAAGTGAATAATACAGTGGTTCTTAACAAGTGGGTCACATATTTACATTTACATTTAGTAGACGCTTTTATCCAAAGCGACTTACAATTGGGGGATACATCAAGCGATTCTTCTTAAAGAGGCAAACAGACACATGAAGTGGTTGTAATACCAAGTTCTTAGACATTGTTCAAATAAGTACAAGCTAGAAATATCTGTTCTTATATCAGACTATCATCACCTTATGGTTACACGAGAAAAATTAAATTATTTAACAGTTTACCTGAGATTCCTTGGAAACAAGCAGCCAGTTCTGGGAGTTTGTGCTGAAGTGGTGTCCTGTTGGAGTGCTGCTTACTGAACGGTTCCCTAGAAGCCACTCAGCCAGAGGTGTGGCCCATTCAGGAGCTACTTTCTATGTAAACAAGATAGGTATTTTACAATGGATGCAAATGAACAAGCAGGACGCTACATAGGCCAAGTGTAACATCAAAAACAAACCTGTCTCTTGCAAGAAACTGGGCAGTCCTGGAGAAGCCTCGGTCTCTCAGTAGAATATGAGGTCTCCATCTGCAGCAGCAGAGAAGAGTTATGAATGCGGGTGCTTTGTGTAAGAGTGCACAGGTCTATTTATAGCAATGGTATGAGGACATAGTCTTTTGACACACTCTATTCTCCCCGGCTACACTGTGATCCTGTCAAAAATCAGTGGACATTTCAATCAAATGTTAATAACTGGATGGCCAATTATCATCCAGTTATGTGAATTTTAGTAAAAACTAAACACTTCTTTCACTTAATTTCCATTATTTTGTGCCAGTTGCTATAATTAAATCGCATTGTACAGAGTACCAATCAAAACGGATTCTCATAATCTTAAAAACCTTTTGCTCCAAAGGATTATGCCTATGATTAGTATTATGATTATGCCCTTGAGCAAGACACCGAACCCCCAACTGAAATATATGCAAATATTTTTGCAGCTAAATATAAATAGTATTAATTTCTTCAAATAAATATTATTTTGATTAAATGTCCTTTTTTTTTTACAAGTTAGACAGGGAAATACAGACGTTATGCGTCCAGCATTTATGTGAACTCCTTTAATACTGTACAGAGCACCTCATACTAAACACTGTTCTTCCATAGTTCTAGTGATTCACAGCAGTTATTATAATTTGGTGTGGAAAACATTCAGTACAAACTTTTTACTGCTAGTATAAAACCCATATCAGACAACTTCAGCTGTGGCCTTTTCCCGATGAACTCAAAGCCTCTCTGACACCCTGCGAATGTGTCTGCACTGATACGTGTCTGCCAAACTTAAGAGCTGCACGGCAGGTTTCATAGAATACAGCTGGCAGTGCCTCAAGGGCAAAATTCTTAAGATTCCGGGAAAAGTTGTGCGACACAAAGAATAAACTTGTCCCAGCTGGGGGGAACACAACAACGTCTGAAAAAACAGTGCATACACCCATTAGAACAGGAAGAGTGTGTGATTCCTGCTGTGTCTGATCTGTTGATAAGATTTTGGTAGGCTACAATTAGATGGATAGCCTAAATGTCCTAATTCAGATGGGCTAGCTGTTTTTTTTATGGTATATCAAAAAGTGTATCTTTTTTTAAAATGTGATTATTGATACATTTGACCAGTTTTTACCATACTTTCAAAACAAAAATTAAAATAGGAAAAATATGCAATATGAAAATAATTGAAGACAAAATGTGCTTTACTGAGAAAAAACAAGATTTGGTTTTTAAAAAGCCTTTTTCCAAAAGGTACATCTGGAAAAAGGGGGGCCGTCTTATAATCAGGGTCGTCTTATATTCGGGCCAATACGGTACAACATGAGTGTCAGTCCACATTAAGATGCAAATGCAGCAAAAACAACATCTGTATGCATTGCCAACAAATTAAAAATCCACTTGAGAATGAAGCAATGTTCGGATGTAGGTGAAAGTCTTCAAACTAAATCATTACGCTTATATAACTTAACGACATGTAATTTTGATTACTATCCTTATCTATATCGGCACTAACTTTCACTAACCAGGCACTGCATTCAATGTCGGAAATCTAATACTTGACTGAGAACATTACGCAACATTAGAACACATAAGTTCACACTTTATCAAGATATATGAAATCGTAAAAAAGCTTTAAAAAAAATTGGACATTGAAAATATATTCTACAGGTCGCCCGTCTGTAGCCCCCTTTTTATGCGTCACATTGCCGAGGACACAGTGAACTGATATCAATTCATAAAAATATATATGTTTAAACCGGTCATTAAATCGATTCTCAGATTAAGTATACATGTATCGAGATTTTAAACATATCACCGTAACAATACAGAAGAAAGCCTGGTTACAAATATAGCGAGCTCGCATCCAGATTAACATTCCGACGCCGCATTAGCTAAAAGTCAAAAATTTCTCAAAACAAACATGTAATTGTGGAGTCTCGATGTGTACATACCTGGACTACCTGTTGACCTTGATGTTAATATAATAAAGGCTTCAGCGAGAACGCAGTGCCGCTACGCCGCTCGTGAGGCTAATGTCAAAGCCGCTTTGGAGAATCACGTGAAACCATAATCTCGCGATACTTCTTCTTCTTTTTTAAGGGCGGTTGGCATCCATCTTATTGGTGCATTATTGGTGCGTTCTCAATTTTTGTTCTCAAATGTAATGCTACCATCTAGTGGCATGTGTCCCGTCTAATAATATCTCCTATCAAAGCAAGGTTATTTTTTTAATGACACATGCATGTTTCATTGCATGTAAAGTTGCGTCCCCACTTTTTGTCAACACCGTCAGACATTCGATCAAATGTAATAAAATCAGGGGCAGCTGTCACCAGTGTTGCCAACTTAGCAATTTTATTGCTAAATTTAGCACCTTTTCAGACTACCCTAGCTGCTTTGTCTTCCAAAAGCACCTAGCAACAAATTTAGCTATTTTCAAAAATGTATTTGGCAGCTTTTAGCAACTTTTGACAAGTGACTCAAAGGCACAATTTACCATTTAAATTACACAAAGAGAGGAAACCAAAGACGCCTAGCAGTACACACGTTACAGGAATTAAGGTAGCTGCTATTTGCAGTTGTTTAATAGTAATAATAATAATAATTGAATACTGTTATTTTTCATTTATGAGACACTTTGTGAGTAGCTTGTACCTGTGATTGTTGATGAGTTAGTGCACTGTAAGAAAAATATGCAGGAAAAATGGAAAAGGTGCTAGTAACTTTCAGCTATTTTCAAAAATGTATTTGGCAGCTTTTAGCAACTTTTGACAAGTGACTCAAAGGCACAATTTACCATTTAAATTACACAAAGAGAGGAAACCAAAGACGCCTAGCAGTACAGGAATTAAGGTAGCTGCTATTTGCAGTTGTTTAATAGTAATAATAATAATAATTGAATACTGTTATTTTTCATTTATGAGACACTTTGTGAGTAGCTTGTACCTGTGATTGTTGATGAGTTAGTGCACTGTAAGAAAAATATGCAGGAAAAATGGAAAAGGTGCTAGTAACTTTCCAGGACGTTATCCGTTGTAACCCGAAAACACAAAATGCAATGCGTAATTAAAAACGCAGGTACAAAAACCTGCGGAAAAATCAATCCTTCATATTAACACCGTAGATTGTGCGTTATTTTTAACTTTTCTTAGAGTGTGCAGCATACTAACTAACTACTAATAAACTGCTTTAAAGTATAAAACTTCGATTGTAATCGTTCAAAAATGTGTACGTTTTCGATTATTCAATGGATTTAAAACTAGTTATTTTAATTTTATATTGCTACGAACCGATCTAAATTAACATGTATAAAACATATATATGTTTTTGCTGAGATTTGACACAATTTTGCGTCGTCATCACGCAATGTCATCACAACGTCTTTTAGCAACAAATCAACCTTCCTTTAGCGACTTCCCCTGAAAATTAGTTGGCAACACTGGCTGTCACTCTGAAGGAGCCCCTTGCCACGGTTCACCTCTGCAGACTACAGCAGTGTCAGACGGGCTCTGCTAAGTTTTAGTTTTAGAATATTTTAAATCCTAATGTTAATGTTTCCTGTGTCACAGCCATGATATGTCAACACCATCTTCCAATTTCTGAGGAAATTATTTGAAATATTTAGATCATTTTATTCTCCTGAAGCAGGTTCCATTGGCATCTAGCATCAACAGAAAAACATCAAATGGCTACCACATGAACTCCACTGGTTTTGTGAAAGAAATGCCAAATTTGTCAACACCGTCAGATGTCACCACCATAAGATCTTGTGTTCCAATGATATCAAAATACTTAAATGTGACTCTTGCATAAAAGCTTTATAAACAATAACATACTCACTGTTTGTTGTGTTTGTATTAATACAGTAATTGACTGATTCAATGTATGAGATAGTTAAAATGACTACAAATTCAGGTATTCGTCACCACCGTCAGATGTGTCAACTCCGTCAGTTGAATATTTTGATAATATTTCATTATGATATTTTATATGTGTTGTGGAATTGTCGGTCACATGTGAAAGTGTAATCTGTCTGCTAACACCAGAATGTGTTTTGAAATGTTAAAAACATCTTGAATGCTGTTAAAGATAAAGCTGAAATATTACGCAGTCCAAGGAAAAAAAAAAAAAAAAGCACATTTTATTAAAAAAGAGAAAAGTTGGGAGGTTGTATCAAAGCGTAGCTTAGTACATAAATGTAGTTTAATTTGTCTGAGTACAAGGTTTTATTTTTTCATTTTGCACCCTGTTTTGTCCCACTTCTCGAGAATGACTGAGCTAACGACTCAACAATGTGATATAGCTGTTGTGGTAAACAATTTTGTACATCTAGGCTAGTATAAGTGGAGGAGGCAAATGATTGAACAAAAAAAAAAAGCTCAGAAACATGCTGTTAGACTGGCATATGTACAGATAACCACGGTATTAGCATGATACAATGTTTAAAAGAACATCATTGCAGTTTAACATCCACAATATATCATGGGCTTTAGTAAATTGTGCGCTAAATAAACAGCGCTGTATGCTACATCATCACATTCTCTACTGTATTACAACTGTGTAGTTGGCTTCATGAGTTTTTCACAAAATTACAGTGAGACTTTTTAACACCGCGTTGGTTCTTTAATGTGACTGACCCCAGGGCAGTGGCTCGGCAGTGATCGACATGGAGAATATGGATGACACCTCTGGTTCCAGCTTTGAGGATATGGGGGAGATGCATCAGCGTATGAAGGAGGAGGAGGAGGTGACAGCCGAGGCAGCAGCTACGGAGGAGGACAACGGAGAATATGGAGACTTCCTCGGGATGAAGGGCTTGAAGGGACAGTTGGGCAGACAGGTTGCCGGTGAGGTGAGGGCTAGGAACTCGTTTCATTCACTTGAAGATTCACATGAGCTTGAAATGAGGTATCTACCACATTTCCATACAGCAGCTATGAAATCGATATTACACAATTTTCACTTTGGAAAGTGTCTAACTTTCCTTTAAATAGTTCTGTTTGGCTTTGTGTAGATGAGAGCGCTAATATATCTTGTATCCACACAGGTATGGCAGGCAGGAAAGCAACAGGCCTCAAAAGCATTTAATCTGTACGCCAATATTGACATCCTCCGGCCGTACTTTGATGTGGAGCCTAATCAAGTCAGAAACCGGTAAGATGCATGTCCGGCTTTCTAACAGCGGTTTTGCGATGTCTTTTGCTGCAGCATCACTGATTCTGGTTCAGTTAACCAACTGCTTGATCCACAGGTTGATCGAATCCTTGATCCCAGTCCGAATGATCAACTTTCCACAGGTAAGACACTTGATCATTTTAGCTGTAAGCAATACACAACAGAAAGCAAGTTTAATTGTATTGGAAGAGCAGGGGTGTGGCATCCTTGAGCGAGAGAGATTAATATTATTATCCCTATAAAGCCCACTGTATCATATTTGAAACAAATTTCTAAGGCCTCTAAATGATCAACATGATTAAAACTTGTTGTACATAATCGACTACATTTCTTCTGTTAACTGACTGTGAATTTATACTTTTAGCAAGTAAAAGGTCTTTTAGTATAGTTGTAAAAATTTTATGGTACACGTCTTTTTGCTGTTAGATTTTTACTGATTTTTAAAGGAAAGGTTTTATTACAAGATGAACACTTACTGGACTGAAGCAACTTAGGTTTACTTGATTATCTATACATTCTTTTTTTTTAGAAAAATCGTGTTAAAATCAAATATGATCATCAGGCTTTTGAGGAATGTTTTTGTTCATTTATCAGTCGTCATTGTATTGCGTTGCATTATATGTTTTGCCCCCCCCCCCCCCCCCCCCCCCCCCCCCCCCCAA